TACAGCAGAAAATATGTAAAATATATGTTCTCCTTTTATGAACCCTGTCAATGGATCGGTGTCTTGTTATGTCTTATTTATTTTAAACTTATTTTGGTTTGTTAAGAAAAACATGTGTGTGATCCCCCCTCCCCCCTAATTGTACACTGCGTCGTTCTACGTTCTCAGGGTTACCTATCACTTTTTCGTCAGTCAGTTGAGAGCAAAGAAAGTAACGTTATTTGAGGTTACCTAAAAAGCGGAAAAATTTCAACGTTGCAATATGGTTGAAATCGGGTTGAAATGAGGTCTGAATGTCTAAGACCTCGTATTTTCAACTGGCTAAAAATTGGATGAAACATCAGCGTGCCAGAAAATGTCAATTTGTTGATAAATGTGTCACGTTGTAACGTAAGGCAGAAAGGGACACGATATTAACGTTAAGATTTTCATAATAATTAATGAACTGGTCAGCGAAATTTGGTCTATGCGAAGACGTGATTTCAACGTATTTAATATTGCACTTAAAATGTCATAAATATGAAACTACAGACTGCGTGCTGTTAATAAGATGCTTTTAAGACCTAGTAATGTGGGCAGTTTCAAACATTACTTGTAAACACGTAACTCCGCTCACATCTGTAACGCGCAAGTTCTTAGTCGCTTGCAGAGCTTCAACCGGATGCAGCACGAGGCGAAGTTTGTACGCAGCAGAGCGACATGAACGGGCTGATAGAACCACGACTACCGGCTCCACTACTCTGTAAGTACGGGAGTGTTTGAATGAAGCACACCTGGAACTATAACCAGTTGTTTTACTTGTGCTGCCCACTCGATACGGGAAAGACTGTCCTTTTTGGTAAGCTAGTTAGCATTAGCGCAGGTAGTTTGCTAGTTAGCATGCTAGCTTGGAGCATGCTAGCATGTTCAGCATGATGACCTGGACCAAAAGTAAACATCCCAGAATATTTTGTGTGTGTTTGGTGTTGCTAATGCGTTAGGTTGTTGCTGTACCCATAACGTATTATTGCCTTTCCTATTCAAAATGCACGTTTTTAAAGCACTGGGGGCTAAATACCAGATCTACCAACTCTCACGGTTTCGCCGTGTGACACACGCTTTTGCATGTTTTCACACGCACTCACGCCACACAACCAATTTCTCACGGCAAAAAAAAAAATCTGATTTTGGGCCGAAGCGCGTTCGTTCCTTTTCAAACTCCCCGACAATAGATGGCGCTAAGGAGCGCATCTGTAAACCCATTCGCTGCATAGACATCCTATTTACCCCAAAGAGTCCCGAAGTTAGCAACAGAAGAAGATTTTCAAACAGACACAACCGCGGGAGAAACTCAGGAGGAGCAAAGACTAAGGTATGTTAATGACATGTGGTTCAATTAAGTACTCACTCTCTTAAACTTTAAATCTTGAAAGAAATTATTTGTTGTGTTTGTGCGTGTGATTTTGAGTGGTGAATGTAAACTCAGCTGTCATAACAAGCAGCACTGCTGCTAATCTAATCTTAAACACAGGTCTATTAATTAGGCTATATTGTGGTACATAGACAGTCATTGAGGCACAGCAATAGTTTTCTGGTTGAATGTTCAGCTCAAGTCTAGAAGGCCCAACAAGTCATGAGCAGATGAACATAAATCAGAATAAGTTCAGGCATACCACCCAAAAATCCACGAGAATGCATGAAATAACATCTACTTAAACCAAAATGTCCTGGGGGTGGACCATCAGCTATGTCTTTGCTTCACAGAATGTAACCAATGTTGTCCATCTCCAGTAGGCCGCCCCTATCAACGACTTTGGGCCCCACAAACCACCAGAATGCAGGGTACAACATGGGTACTACGCCAAATGAATTCCAATTTCCTGATATTTGAGCCACCAACGTGTGTGGCTGCGTGCGCGGCAAAATTTTGGTCACCCCCGACAAAATCTCACTCCAAGGTTTTTTGAAAAGTTGGCAGCTCTGTAAATACAGATTGCACGGGTGAAGGGCTGAATTCAACAAGTTGTGGTCTGTAAACAAGAGGGCCAAAACATTGTAAGTTACGGTGTGCTTTAGCATGATACTGTGTAATATACCTGGAAATGTTACTCCAGAAATGTAATAAGTAGCAGATGAATTGTTACATTGTTTATAATGTTATGAGTAAACAATATTAGGACTTAAAGATGGAGTGAGCTTAATGCTGTAGCTACTTTGATCACAACTGATGACCCGAAGGATCTTTTACACACAAGGGTTCTGAGACATCTATACATGAGGGTTATAACACACCTGCTGCTGTTATCATCATTATTATTATTATTAGTCACTTTATTATTACTGTCACCATGAACCCAAATCACCAACTTTGCCTTTTCCCTGAAGTCTTTGTGCTTTCCCTCACTGGTTTCTGTGGATAGAGGTTACATCTGATGGTGGTTGTGCCTGCAGTGTGAATATTAGAATAATAATTTGAATGCACCGTACAGCTTTAAGTTGTTCATACTCTACACATCTACTTCTCTGCTGTTTTCCCCTCAGGTTTATCCAAGGTGAAGGTTTTTACATTTTAGGCATTTGGGGACAGGGTGTTGCATGTTTACAGATTTCAAAGCTGAACAAAATAAAATGATTTGAATTGAATAAACACGTTGACCAGAGAAATCTGCAATTGAGGGGTGTTCTGTGCACTGACTCCCTTTACACAAGGAATCATCAAGTGAGGATGAGGGAGATGCAGCTGATTTCAGGTATACTATCCCAACTCAAGTGACTCAGAGCCAGATCTGGTTACAGAATCTGAAAATACTAACTTGTCTATGATGTTTCCGCACTTTTAATACCATAGTTTATTTCCCTGAAATATATTTTATAAAAGTATTATTTATTTATAATAAATACAAATTAATGTGTTTGTCCTTGTTAAGGGCTGTTAACATGAGAACTGTGACTAACTATGTAACTTGTTACTTGTAAGTTTCCAGCGAGCAATTTATCCGTTGAAACCACGTTTAAAAGACGTCTATGGCCGGACGTTGAAAAGACGTTGCAAATTTCAACGTCTATTCGTGGAGGTTGAAAAGACGTTCACGTTTAGACCCGTTTTCAACGTGATTTATAATATCGGTGGTAAACTCACAAATGTGGATGTAGTTTCATTTTAAACCTCTAAAATACTGATATAGCACAAAGTAGAGGACGAAATATTACCGTATAAAAAATCACGTTGAAATGTGGTCTAAACATAGACGTCTTTTCGACGTCTACAAATAGACGTTGAAAAAACTTTAAAACCATTTTGCAACATCTTTTCAAGGTCGGGTATAGACGTCTTTTCCATGAAAAAACGCTCACTGGGCAGGGACACTTCGACATGCGACATGGTGCAGCCAGGGCTTGAACCGCCAACCTTGCGTTTGCCGGCGCACCGTCTCTATTCCATGCACCACAGTCAAAAGTCTCATTGCCTTATTCACCCTTATCTCTCACACACACACACACACACACACACACACACATGTTGATTTTACATGGTATTGATCTGATTAGTATTATTGGAAGGCAATAAACTCTGTTGTACGCTAGGGAGGAGTTTTCTGTGATTTCTTTGTGCATATGTGTACTGTAATGCTGGCTGGAAACATAGCCGGGGTACAAACTCAAAGCTCCAATTCCTTGCTCTTAATGAGTGAATATCAATTATGAGACTATCATTAGCTGAAGAGATTAGATATTTTAGATATGTAAGACATTGTTTTACCAAGTGGGCTGCAAAATTGTATTTTAATGCAATGACTGTCCCCCATCTGACCTACTGCTTAACCAGCTGGGCATAAGACAGCAGCACAACATTAAACTGTATTCACATCCTCCATAAAAAATCCCTAAACAAACAGAAGTCACCATCACTGAAATATTGTCACCAAACACCATATCCTGAGTTGGGAGAACCGCATTAAATTCACTGATGAGTGTCTGTTTTTTTTAATTTTACATGGAATTGCCCCGCTAAACAAATAAGCCAAAGCAGCAGACCAAATAGATCTGCTTCAAGAGGTGATTGTGTTATTTCACACAGGTCAAGCTCCTTTAGAAAATCTATATTCTCTGTGAAGGCAGCTTGTGGAATGCTCTGACGCAACACATTCGTGCACAAAACACATAGAACACCTTCGAATACAACCTTAAGGATTGGCTTGTTGCTAATCGGGTTTGCAAGCATTGATGTGTTGTCTGTTCTGCCTGCTTGATTCACCTCTATGTGCATTTGTCTTGCTCAGTGTTGCTCTTGTTCTTTTTTTCTCTCTGTGTATGAGATCTGCTTCAGCGGTATACTGTATATGTGCTTCCACTGTAGGTGTGTGTGTTCTGCCTGACGCTTGCTGCAGCCTGTTATGGTTGCAGCATGGTTCCTGTGTATTGGTTTTGTGCATACATTGTGTCCATTTGTCTATGATTTTTAATTACATTTCTTTTTGAGTTTTTTTTATTTTAGGGTGTCTGGCCAGGGACAGCAGATGGAAATTAGCCTCTCTGGCTCACTTACAGTACACCTGTTGATTAGTGTACATTGTCCCTGAAAAATAAATAAATAGATATCTCTGCACTGGTCTGTGAACGCCTTGGGATCATCCAGTCAGAGCTGGTAGATGTGCCCCAGGAAAGGGAAGTTTGGGGTCCCCTGCTTGAACTGTTGCCCTCGCGATCCGACCGTGGATAAGCGGTTGATGAGATAGATGGTCACATATAAATCACTTTACTAAATTAAAGTAAAGACTTGAAAGACGGGCCATTAATAGCCTTTTTATCACTGCGATAAACTTTGACCATATTTCACTATAACATTATAGGGACTGTCAGTGTCTGTCTCCGGTCGACAGACCCTCTAGATAACAAATACTGTATGTGTCAGAGAGAAAAATCGATGAAGCAGAATGATATGGTGATATGGTCTGAGGTTTGGGTGTCTGAGGCATCTTTGGATGTATCCAAATGAAAGCTTCCTGGCATTTTGTTCTTACCTTGTAGTGAAAGAGGAAGAGGCCACAGAAGAAGCTGTACATGTCTGCTGTGAGCAGAGACAGATTGACTGAGGTGGCGCTTGTTCTCTTTAACACCACCGGCATGAAGCTGTACAGGCAGAACATGAAGGCACTGAAACCGATATACAGAAGACCTGCAGACACACGAGCGAGCCAATGATTGAACTAGTCACATTTCCCTTACTTACTTGTGTGTATGAATCCAAGTTTCTGGGTGCAAGTGCATTCTCACCTATCTGCCAGTCCCAGGGTACCTTCAGCAGCTCCTTGTGCTCCATGATGGCCCTGCAACAGAGCACAAATGCAGAGCTCAACCTCTGATGGCCATTTCCAATTGTTTCTCACAACATCTTGCAGCAATTCTTGGGGTTTAAAACCTTCATAAAAAAAGAAAAACAAAACAAAACCTCCACTGCACTGATACACCAAGAACTCAAGGAACTTCATAAAAAATCCCTATCGGTATATTTGCGTCTAAAAATTTTGACATTCGAAGATTCCTGCCCGAACAAAAGGGCAATTGAATGGCAAGAAACTGCCTCTCTGTCGATGAACCTAGGAAAGCCATACATCCTCTGAGTACCATACAAAGCACAAAAGGTTGTTTTACACTGTGAAGTCAAATTTCAAACTATGGTCTTGCCACAATAAAATGGTTACTAGGGGGACTTAAATCTTCAAACGATGGACTCATTGGATCGACAAGGGTCTCCGCTTTCTAGTCTATGTTTAGGGACTCTAGTGTGCAGATATGTTCAAATGCCCCCCTTTTTTTAGAAAAGTATTTACACTGCATGCAAACATGGGACATCGGGAGTACCGATGGAATCCACAGGTTTCTATTTCAATATGGCCGTGCCAGTGTTTCCCTAACCAACATTGGCCATTATGAAGTTCACATGACATCTAACTTTAAAACTGAGCATGCTAAATCATCTGTAAGACAGTGACGTTGTCCTTGTTCGACTGATATCTAAAGATCTGTTTGTATTAAACATATTTCAAACATTATTCTGTAGACAATGAATCAAATACGGAGTGTCCAGTACCTTAATATTGTATTTCCGTACAGTACTAGAGTATTGTTACTTTCCACCAATTCCCTGCAGTTACAAGGCGTATCTCTCTCCATAACTCGTAGCTCATAGACTTACACCTGGATGCCACTGAAGAAGGATCCAAATAGTCCCATCATGCCAAGGAACTCCACACGGCTCAGGTTCTTCACAATGAACTCCTCACAGACGTTGGAGATCGCGTAGAGCGTCGCTCCACCCACGACCAAGAGGTCCCCAAAGAGCTTCTGCTCTCCTGATACAGATGAAGGAGAACATAGGTGGGAAATGATAAAAGGGTAGGGAAGACTGCAAGTCGAACAAAGCTGGCAACCTCCACATGTACTCGCAACCTGGCTTGCTGTGCGTGGATCAGGAGCACGTTGGGGCACTCACCAAGGCCTTGCTGTCGACCGAGCAGGATGTCAGCTCCCACCATGCAGCCAACACCCAGCAGACACAGTCCCGCCCCGACAAAGTGGACGGCCTTGTACCTCACCAAAAGAAAGAACCAAGACAGCAGCAGGACCACTGGGATGACAAAACAGTCCAACAGCTGAGCGGAAGGACAGACACACAGAGACAAACACATACATACATGGAGAGTTATATTTGGTTATGCTTTCAGTAAGATTCTTCCCCCTGGGTGGGTCCATCTCTTCAGACCATGTTCACTTTAAACAGTAGCAGCAGTGGGCAGGGCGTAGTTAACTTCTGTATTGTGACATATTTCAGTGGGAAAACAGAACAGCTGAAGTAGGCCCGCATTATGGCGCGACACAGGATACAAAACACCCCCGCGAGATATTTCCCTGAGGCCTCTCCAACGCACCAATGGACCAAACCTCGTCGGTGGGACCCATTTTCTAGCTGTTCCAAAGAACTCCGGCTCCCCCAGTCCTCAATCCAGGCCCAAGCAGCTCACCAAGGAGGACAACCTCCTCTGTTGTTCATAAAAACCTCAATCCCTCACCAAAGGGCAGAGCGGACACAGAGTTAAACAAGACTCGAGGAAACACAGCAAACCCTATCAACGCACACTAAGGCTATGTCTGGGCAGAAGTTAGATCAGCATGTGTTGTTATTTTTGTTGATGATGATGATGTTTACTGCATTGTGAGCGATGGTGTATGTTTATGAACTGTGTGATGAAGTTAACTGCTATCGTGTCTGACTGCATAAGATCTGCTTTGAGTCTTTCCTTTGATTTGTCATTTACCAACCAATACACCTGTCCCTCCACACAGTTTTACATACAGACAGAGGGTTAACTATGCAAGGACCACACGTGGTGTACAAACACCTCTGCCAGCTTGTAGCCACACATTTCTCTGTGCATATGTGTACTGCAGTGCTGGCTGGAAACATAGCCAGTGTACGAGCTGCAATCTTCATTTCCTTCGTCTCAAGGAGTGAATATCAATTATGAGACTTGATTTATCGTTGGTTAGTCAGCCCTTTTTAGAGTGGTGCCCTAATATTTATTTTAGGAATTACCTTAGTGATTATAAATAATTCTATCGATGATTTAATTTCACACTAGCTATTAACCAAAACAATCCCCCAACCCCATGCCCAACATCGAACAGAGGCGAGAGCGATTTTACCTTTTACGCTCCAACTTTAATTTACAAATCTAATACAATCATTCACCTCTCAACCTTACCCCAAACCCACAAGAGGGCAGGTAGACATTTTAGGTTTATGATTAACACCATAGATTAAGATTAACATGGACATGAAGGATAACTGGGAATGATGAAGATCTGAACATACCATTTGGATTGTCCTAAATAAGGAAAGGGACTTTTGGTGCAGATTTTTATATAAAATGTTGAAAGAACTCCCTGTAGATGAACTTAGTGAAACAGTATCATCTCCCTGTGTTCCTGATAGCCATGTTTATATCCACTCTAGTGCCTTGTGCCTGGTCTCCCAGTCCTACAGGGATGCGGTCAGATCCACACAGTCCTGATACATTTTCAGGTCTATTCATTTCTTTCCAATTTTGATCCACGAATGTGAGCTGATTCCTTCCTTCCAATCACTCCCAGCATCCAGCCTGAATACAGTATGGTGTATTGTAATAGTAAATGAAGTATTGTGATTTTATGGATGTCACCATCTATTATTTTGTCAATATATCTGTTATTGATCTTCTTTACACAATTGCCTGTTGTTTCTGTCTCTACATGGTTGCACGTTTAAAGTCCTCCACGGAGTTCCGCCCAGAAGAGCACACAAAAAACACACAAGTCTGGGCGACTGTGGGTGAGTGGGGAGCACAGTCGTCCTCCAATCAGAGGGTTGTCAGTTCGATCCCAGGCTCTGCTAACCCGCATGTCGATGTGTCCTTGGGCAAAACACTTAACACAACATTTCTCCTGTAGCTGTGACTACAATGTGTGAATGTTAGTTACTGTTGTGCAGGTGTCACTGTGTGTGGTTCTCCTGTCATCAGTGTATGAATGGGTGAATGATGTCATGTAGTGTTAAAGCGCTTTGAGTGGTCGGAAGACTAGAAAAGCGCTATACAAGTGCAGTCCATTTACCATTTACAAGTGAGCACACTTCCGCCAGTCACAATACAAATCCACTGCTGAGTTTCCACACTGAGTTTTTATCGCAGATATCATCGCGGTTATTTGGTCAGACTTAACAAAATGTTTTTCACACACACAAACTCACCTGTACACTGGAGAGTGTGGTGTACTGGTAAGCTTTGAGCACCAGATAGTTGGCCTCGATGTCTATCAAACCCAGAATCATGTATTTCCACCAGCGCTGCTTCAGGATGGCCAGCAGGTTCCCATCCCCTGGTACGACAGAGAAACAGGCCACACTATTGGAAAGTCAAAGAATAAATAAACAGACACAGTATGCAAAGAGAGGCGAGGACGACCCCGTTTATTACAGAAAACCACCAGCGGAAGGAAACCAGTGGCCCGACAAGACTCCACCTGTTCTTGAACATCTATGTGCTTTTTTAAAATAGTTTTTAGCTTCAGACATCAGGCTGATAAACACTTTTAGTGGAGTGAGGAGAGTATATCAATTGCATATTACTTTAGTTGGTAAAAGATCATTGTCAAAATCCCTGTTGATTTAACAAATTGCATATTAAAGTCAACATGTTAAAATAGCCATAAAAAAGGCTAAAGTTTTGCACCAACGTGTGACTATTGCAGATCCACTTCCCGAAATGCAGACGGAAATGCGATCGTAATCTTTCCTCTCACAGGATGGACCGACTGCAAGGGATGTCTTGTGTACAGAATGAACAGCGTAATAGATGTACAATACATTAAATTCATACAACATGTTCGCGCCCATCAACTTAATTATTTTAATAATAATAATAATTGTTACTTGGTACCATCAGCAAAATTTATATTTTTAAATTGGACCCCGGTACCACACACTTTTCCGCTCAGGTTTAGTGGGTACTGTACCTTGCCTGACCGCCAGTGTGGTGGTGTAAACCAGAAACAGCAGGATGTAGTTGAGAAAGCTCTGGAACACCGGCGTGTTGGCGTGAAAGTCATCAGCCAGGTATTTGCTGGTCAGACTGATGGCACAGATTAACAGGGACAGGACCTGACCCAGAGCGAGGGTCACCAGCAGGTCCCTGCAGGGGCAAAGGGTCGTCAGTGTACCAAGAAGGATTTTACACGGGAAAAATACTTTAAACCTGAGGCGATATTGAGCCAGTCATTGTCTCACTCTCTGTGGTCAAGTGCCAAACGTTTCACATTCCCGATGGGTCCCGACACTTGAAGTTTTGAGACATGTGCGAGCAACGCTGCGGGAGAAGCGTGCCAAACTTTTGTACAAAAGAGAATAAGGCGATTAAGAAGTATGTGAGATAAATTGGCTCAGCTTCGCAGGCCACACTCAACTAGAAAATTCCACAGAAATTTTAAGTGGGGCCTAGACTGCCCGCAGATGCCTGTTCCTTTTTTCGGCCAAGCAGGCAAGTGAAGGCTAGCCACAAAAGTGAAGGCTAGCCACAAAGGCTAGCCAACAATGTGCGCGCCCCCCACGCCGCTGGCCGTATCATCCCGTCCCCCACCCCCACCTCAAAAAAGTAACCGCAAAACTTCAGTACCAATCCAAAAAATAAGGACATGTTGCGAGACTCTGACGAACAATGCATGCAATTTATATCGCTGCGGTAATAAATACGGCTCTAATGGCAGTTTACAAAACGTGTACCTTTTTTCAAAGATATAAGTCAGCATTGGACCCTATGACAGACTTTGTGTTGCTCTCGGTGGTCTAGCACCAAAAGTAAACATCTTTGGGATTCTATAGACACAGGAGTATGAACACCACAGACATGCCCAACATTTTGTCCACAAATGAAGCCTGAAAAGTGAATATTGTGGAAATTGTGGCAAAGTATAAATTATTTTTGTACCAGATTCTGACGCTGTTTCACCCTCTAACAATCCAGCTCTGCCCACTTATTCCCCCCCCCACACACACACACACTGTAAACGCAGAAACGGGCTCTCCATTTTCCAAGAACTTGCACTATGATTACAAGAAAGCCGTTGGAGGTATGCATATGCCGTATTAGCATAATAAAGTCAAGACCATTTCCTACGTTTGCTAAGTATAGCAAGGCAGTGGGGCTGCAAATTTGAGTGTTTTTTGCCTCTTTTTTAACTCTATTCATTCCAATGGAGCTTTTTGGCTCGGGTTTTTACGATTTTTGGCAAAAACCGTCAGTCATTCCACACGAATGCAGATGGGCGTGGACGATCGCCTCGTATCATGGATTACGAACTACCTGACAGGGCGGCCACAGTTTGTCAGACTCAAGGACTGCCTGTCTGACACTGTGGTCTGCAGCACCGGAGCACCACAGGGAACTGTGCTCTCTCCTGCTCTGTTCACCCTGTACACTTCTGACTTCTGTTACAATACAGAGTCTTGCCACATGCAGACGTTTTCAGACGACACTGCAATAGTGGGGTGTATCAGGGATGGCCAGGGAGGGGAGTATGTGAGCCTGGTGGGGGACTTTGTGCAATGGGGCAAGCACAACCAATTACAACTGAACACTGCTAAGGCCAAGGAAATGGTGGTGGATTTCCGCAGGTCTAAGCCCACCATGCCAGCAGTTTCCATTGAGGGGGTCAATGTGGAGGTGGTAGGCACATACAAGTATCTTAGGGTAACCCTGGACAATAAACTGGATTGGTCTGCCAACACTGACGCAATCTACAAGAAAGGGCAGAGCCGGCTGTACTTTCTGAGGAGGCTTCGGTCATTCAACGTCTGCAGCAAACTCCTCCAGATGTTTTACCAGTCTGTCGTCGCCAGCGTCCTCTTCTACGCGGTGGTGTGCTGGGGAGGAAGCACTAAGTAGAAGGATGCAGGGCGACTGAATAGGCTGGTGAAGAAGGCTGGCTCTGTGGTTGGTGCTGAACTGTAGTGCATCACTTCAGTCGCCGACAAAAGGACCCTCACCAAACTGCTCACCATCATGGACAATGGAAACCATCCTCTCCACAGCACTATCAGTCGACAGAAGAGTCTTATCAGTAGGAGACTGCGCTCGCTGCCATGTAGGACTGATAGACTGTATAAATCATTCATCCCCAGAGCCATACAACTGCATTTGTCACTTCCAGACCGGACTACTGTAATTCTTTGTTATCGGGCTGCTCTTGTAAATCTCTTAAGCCTCTCCAGTTGATTCAGTTGAGTATCCTTTCTTGGGCCTTTTTCCTTTACCAAGAGTGATTTTCAGCTGCCTTTTTACTAATAAACTTGATTTTGAACATTGTCTCCAGAGTTATGAATTTGGGTTCAGGGCCATTGTCTGGTCGTGACAATAGTAGTATCTGGCTCCAGTTTATTCTGGCTCTTGTGCGTAGAATATCACCGGGTCACACTACTGCAACAAAAGGTACTAGTATTTATGCTGATTATGATTAATACTACAATTTTAAAATCCTCTCAAACTTCATCAATCAACTTTAACATTTCTCTGCTTCACCAATCTTTCAGCTACAGACACCATTTAAACTTTAAAATGTTGACAAATTGTTGACATGCCCCCCATCCTGCTACCCCCCCCTTTCTAACCCTTCTTTTTTCAACCAGCCCCCCCCCAAAAAATCCCTTCTATCCATCCCCCTCAAATAAGCCCCCCCCCCCCCATTTTTCCCCGCCCCGAAAATCCCTTTTATCCCCCCTGTCAGCTTTATTTTCCCAACCAAATGCCCCCCCCCCCCCCCGGAAGAAAAAAATGGGCAAGTTTTTAAAAAAAATTTTTTATTTTTTTGTTTTTTTTCTTTTTAAAAAGGTTGTGTTTTTGTTTTTTTTATTTTTTTAAAAAAAAAAAAAAAAAAATGGGTTTTTCCTTTTTTAAGGCGTGTAAAAAAAATTGAATTAGAAATTTAAATTTCCAGCGGGCCGTTTTTTCGCTGAAAAAAATTTTTAAAGACGTCTATGGCCCGATCTTGAAAAGAGGTTGCAAATTGGTTTTAAAGTTTTTTTTAAAGACGTTCATGTTTATACTTATCTGTGGTAAACTTACAAATGTGGACGCAGTTTCTTTTTAAACCTCTAAAATAATGCTATACGGTCACGAAGATACTCATTTAACGCTACATAGTATTTGCATGTCGCCAAATACCCAACTGAGATCGGATTATTCTGAAAAATGATCCGACCACCGCTACCTGCCGTTATGACAAAGGAACCTGCCACCGACCCCCCCACTCCCAGTCCTCCATAGCAGCCAGCGGGCACCGAAACAGCAACACGCATGGTGTCATTCTCGTACAGATACACGCTGCATGGTTACGTTGACACATCTGTTGCACAGCGTGCTGCTGCTTCTGCTCCCCGCAACAGCTCCACACTAAATATGATCTTAGAGGTTGAAACAAAAGGTGTCCGCAGTGATGACCGCGTGTGGCGCGCGGGCTGAACGCAGGAAAAAGGGGATGCTTGGCACGGATCAGCGCCGTCATCGTCGTACCTGGTTAGGCGCCTTCTTATCCGCTGGTAAAGACTCGGCACGGGGGTGCCCGTAACTCTAGGGACGCTCTCCACAGTGGAGACGACAGGCATCGTGCTTCTTTACCCGAGAGTGAGCGGCAGAGATCGGCGTTGTTCTCCTGGGGAGGACCGGAGGAGGAGATTTGGGAGCGGGCACACCTCAGCGGACACTCCTGGGTCTCCGTGTTGCGGACCCTACACGGCAGTGGGAGGCAACACTGTGCTGTTCATGTTGCTCTGACCCCCCCCGGCGTGGATGCACCGCCCCCTTGCAGAGAAGCCACGGGATCCAGGACCACGTTCTGCGCTTGTTGGACCACAGGGTGGCGTCCTTCTCAGCCAGCCCCCCTCCCGGGATGACGACGTAATACCTCAGCAGGTGTATCGACGTCAGGAATGAACTACCTTCAGAACCATCAAAATGGTGTGTGTGTGAAAGGCCAGTGTCATAATTGAATAATAGTATTAGTTCAGATTCCTTTTTGATACATTTACTTGTATAATGTTGCTCTATATTTTATAGTAGTATTTATTTGATTTGTTTAAAATGTAACAAACGTATAGCAAAGTATACAAAGTATATATGATACAAATTAAAAGGTAAGTACATATGACGATCAAATAAGTGTCCATGTGTGCATGATCCAAACCCTCAAACCCTTTCACATTACTCAACATAAAATGTAACACGCACACGGCATTCCATTCCACAACTACACACACGTATATATATATATATATATATGTAATATATATATAATATATATATATAATATATATATGTAATATATAATATATATATATGCAGTCTGAATATATATATATATATAAAAAATATATATATAAAATGTGTGTGTGTGTAAATACATACATACTACAGAAACCAATAACTGAAGGAGTCAAGCATTATGTAGAGCATCAACATGTTTCTCATTTATTTTCTTCGGGCAAATTAACTACAATAATCACCTTGCAGATGTATGCTTCCGCCAACCAGTCATGTTGAAATTCACATCCAGGCTATTCCAAAATGGTCAGCCCCTTCAATATGCATTAGACATTTATGTGAAATTGTCACAATTAGCACATCCTTGAATTATGGCTTGAAAAAGTGAAGTTAGTGATCTTTATGCTGAAAAATTCTAATAAGTTGACCTTGGGTCCAGGTGAACGATTGTGCCAAATTGCTGAAAATTTTAATTAGATATTTGAAGCCGGTCCTTTCCAAATGATTATAGACACAAGAATGGGACAGACTGAAGCCACGGTGACCTACAAATTATCAGTTAATCAGTCATCTTTGAATCCAAGTTGATCGTTTGCAGCAAACTTGGGGGAAAAAAAAACCTTTTAGGCGTTAATTACGTTCACAAAAAAATACATGAACACCTCCCCTCCATCAGGCAAGGGGGAGGGGCACTATCGCAAGAGAAATAAAAAAATAAAAACAAGATGGAAGTAGAAATGTGTCAGCCTTTTGTTGTCTAGCAGTTTGAACTAGAGGAACGTATAACTTATAGCTCAAATATAAGTTTGACAAATTGATGTCAACTTGAGGTGGAAAATAAAAGTTGTTATTGATTTTCATGAAAACATGAGCCCGTTTTGAGTGGCAACTCATTTAAGTAAACCCCGTCAGTTCAGATAAGTTTTGTCAGGGACTGTAAAGTGGCGTAGAATGGGACTGAAGGCAGCATTTCTGTATTGCAGTTTGGTCAGGCCGACTGGCCTTCGACAAACGTCTGTGTGTCTGAAGCAACACGCTACCCGGACAACAAACACAAACACGCACTTGTCATATTAACACATCATTAACCCCTCCGTCCCCAAGCTCAAGCAGCGCCTCTTGTGTGGTTGGTGGAATCGAGCGTCTTTCTCCAAGACCCAAACATATTTCCCGTGCAAAGACGAGAACAAAGCCTTGTTTCTTCCTCTGTCGTCTGGCCGGGTGAAGGGGGCGGGGGTAAATGTTCTGAACCACGGCAGACAACAGCAGCTGGATACTGAATGGCAAACAGTGAGCAAATTGGAAAACAGGAAACAGGCCGGTCCGCTCGAGTCAGTGTGTTGCCGAAGTCCTGGAATGGGAGTCGAGAGTGGTGGCAAGAAGTGAGCGGGACCAGACCCTGCTAGAGCTTGTCTTTTGAGTCTGTCAAAGACCCAAGAGATGGACAGAGTGAGGTAAAGCGGGGGAGTTGAGGGAGGCACCGCCTGGCCAAACTCTCGTCTTGACTATGTGCACCCCTACACCTCTTATATTTCTGTTCCAAGCGCCTGACAGAGGGAGGGGGCGGCATATCACTGACCAAGCCGCTGCTGACAAGAGTCAAACTGCTGAAGGACACCCAGCAGGTCCTCATAGGAGACATTTCTGTGGGAGGGCAAGGACCTGAGGACACACAGCAGCACACACACACTTTGAACAAATCAGGGTCATGTTAAAGATGGCATCTTTTGCCTTCATTTTGTAATATTAATGTTACTGGCTGGAACTATGCCAACGTCTCCGTATGACCTACATAAGTAAACGAGACAACACAGAATCCCCGCTGTTGGTTCGGTGGAGGGAGGAGGGTAACACGGGAAAACCAGAGGGCCATTGGCACGAAACCAGGATAAGGGATAAAGCCGGGATATTCAAGTTATCCAGGATGAATGTTAGCCTGCTCCAGACCAGGAAAGTAGTCGTTGCAGGTCGACCGATCCAACGGGGGAGCTCCCGTGTTCCTGCACCATGGCATGCCCATTTCTGAAACTTGACTTAGCTCCCCCTCCTCATCCTGGCTCAGCAAACGTGCAAATCGATTAAGCCGCGATGAGCCGATCGTTGCGCTTTCACTTGTCCTGGATTTCTTTATTCTACTTTTGTCCAATAGCCCCCAGGACTGAGCCAAGCAGACAACGAAAACCCTAACGTTTCCGTCAACAGATCCCTGCAGTAGCTTTAATGGAACAAAAACATAAAACCTGAATGTTCTGCTCCACGATGCTAAAAGAGTGTAACATGTAGAAACAAATAGCTGCTTACATGAACTCAGTGAGTCTGATGTGCCAGGGGAGGAAGCCCAGCGTGCTGTCCACAGGACCAAACTTCACCACCAGTTCAGGGTCCGGGACGTTCCTTGACTCTGAAACAAACGGCAGCAAGGGGAACAGCACGCCATCAGCACAAGCCATCGGCACCCCTTTTTATTTTATAAAGCATGTTGACAGAGTCTCTCCAGTGCTTCCACTGTGGAGGCTGAATTAAGAACCGCTTTGTATTTACCCTTACACCAGGATACACAGCGACATTCCAGTGTGAAATACATTCGTGAGCGCCCTCTGGAGGTAGGCGAGGCGAGGCAAGGCAATTTTATTTGTATAGCACTTTTCATACACAAGGCAGACTCAAAGTGCTTCACATTATAACATTTTATACAATAAAGTGAAATAAAATGCAGGAATTAAAAGACAATTAAAAACAGCAAATAAAATTATAAATTAAAATCTTATTTAAATTATTTAATTAAAAGCAGAGGTTAAAAGTGCAATGTAGGTCAAATTTAGCAGAAGGCGAAGCTGAACATAAAAGTTTTCAGTCTTGTTTTAAACGTGGTCAGAGTTGGGGCAAGTCTTAAATCTTCAGGAAGTTTATTCCAGCTGTTTGTTGCGTAGTAACTAAATGATGCTTTCCCATGATTTGTATTTACTCTGGGAATCACTAACAGATTGGTGTCAGAAGATCTTAGTGATCTTTAAGGCTTATGTAGTGGAAGCATATCAGTGATATACTTTGGCCCTAAACCATGTAGTGATTTATATGTGAGCAGTAGGATTTTGAAATTAATTCTCTGACATACTGGGAGCCAATGTAAGGATTTAAGAATTGGTGTAATGTGCTCACATTTTTTGGTCTTTGTTAGAACTAGCAGCAGCTTTCTGAACAAGCTGGAGCTGCCTGACAATTTTTTTTGGAAGACCTGCAAGGAGACCATTACAATAGTCTAGCCTACTAGTTATAAAGGCATGTACAAGTGTTTCTAAGTCTTGAGCTGACATGAGCCCTCTAAGTCGTGCTACATTTTTGAGGTGGTAGTAGGCCGATTTTGTTACTGATTTGATGTGACTCTCCAAGTGTAAATCTGAATCCATAATAACCCCCAGATTTCTGGCTTTATTTGATGTTTTCAGGGACAGAGAGTGAAGGTGTTGGGTTAGGTAGGAATATGATCACACCGTTTTCACAGACTGCCTCTAACCACGTTTGGCAGATGAGCATATAAGAACTAGTACCTCTGAGCAGGACGTCCAACATTGAGACGCTGATGTCTTTGGAGCCCTTCTCTTTGTTCTCCACAGAGCGACACAGCTGCCGCGCCGCCTGGACGATGCTCTGCTTCCCATCCTCTGGAGACAAGACCTTCACAGTGGGCCTGCAGGAAATCACTAAGAGAGACAAACAGAATCAACTTCCACGGCCCCTTGGTCAGAGCATTATAGACCATCACAGTAACCAGTACTGCTAGTTGTGTTCTTATGCTACTATATTTTTACACAAGTACGCTCTTTCAAAGAACATTCTATTCCTCAATTTTTAGACATTAGAATCGTCGGCTTAGTGCGACGCAGGAGGGTAAAAGAAAATGTGTTCACTGGGAAGGTGTGCCGCTCTAGCCGGGGAGGTTGGCCCGGGGGCTTCAACCGCCCGGGACAGGGCGGCGGGGAGACGGGGCTTCTCAGTCCCGCTACCAATCAGCCGGCTCGGGAGGAACGCAGCGCATATCCCTTCCGGCCAGAGAGGCGGACCCGCAGTCCGGAGGAACAGACAGTTGTTTCCAGGTTGAAAGCCTTGTGGGATGCTAGTGTCTTAAGTTAGTTGTGTTGCCTCTTTTCGTTCCCACTGTTTTTAAATAAAGTCGACATACTGGCTCATTCACCGGTTTTGCGTGACCGCTATTTGACATTTCAGCTTTTAGCTCGGTGGCGATCCCCGAAAAAAGACCCAGAAACACCACGAATGATCGGTTTGGGGCAATGAGAGATTTCTCAACCGGACAATTAAAGTGGACACTATGAGTGATGTGAATGAATGAGATCGTGCGAGGAGACCCAATGCTGTTTACATGCACATACGGGGACTATTTTTCTCTAGACTACTGAAATGCAATACAAAACGTTTCGTGGCTACAAAAAGGCAGCTATTTACTTACTATTTAGAATTTCGCTGGTATATTATAAAAGCAATAAGGTACTTGAGGCAGTACTTTATCTTCAATCATGTAACAGTGTGAGGGTTGCCTAACAACACCCCCGAACTGGTACATTATTGGACGATAAAGTACAGCCTCTCGTATGTTATTGCTTTAACTAGTTCACCATAATAATAACAATGTTGTTCTTCAGAGGGCACTGTTCTTTTTTTGATGGAGAGGAGAGTGCTACTTTACCTGGTTTCCCCACAATATTAATTCTTGGATAATAAACTGAATTTGAGAACATAAAAATACAGAAAGAAATACTGAAGTGAAAGTGACGTGTGCAGTGAGAAAGAAAGCGACCGGTGGAATGACAGAATCAGACAGTGGGGGACCGGGCTCTTGATGAGCCTGACTGCCGACGGGACTGCCGACTGTTGGTGTGGCGGGAGGTCTTAGTCCTGATGGACCTCAGCCTCCTGCCAGATGGAAGGGGCACAAACAGTTTTTGCGGGTTGAGAGGGGTTTCCCTGCATGTTTCCCCAGCTTTACATGCTGCTTCCTGTCAGACAGGAAGTCTGTGATCCACTTGCAGGTGGAGTCGGGCACGTGCAGCTGAGAGTTTGTCCTGCAGCAGGGACGAGATGATGGTGTTGAAAGCAGAGCTGAAGTCCACAAACAGGATCCTGGCGTAGGTTCCTGGGGAGTCCAGATGCTGACAGCATCTGAACTGCAGGGGGTCCAGGAGGGGGTCGGTGAGGGTCTTCAGGTGGGTCAGGACTAGCCGTTCAAAAGACTTCATGGCTACAGAGGTCAGGGCGACGGGCCTGTAGTCATATAGTCCTGTGATCCTGGGCTTCTTGGGAACAGGGATGATGGTGGAGGCCTTGACGCAGGCTGGTACGTAGCATGTCTCCAGGGAGGTGTTGAAGATGTCAGTGAACACCGGAGACAGCTGGTCAGCACAATGCTTCAGGGTGCGGTGAGAGACGGAGTCCAGGCCAGCTGCTTTATGGGAGTTTTGTCTTTTAAAGAGCTGGTTAACATCTCTCTCCAATACAGAATTAGTTTACCGGAGAACCCTCAATTTTACCAACGTGTGTGCAAACAGCAAAGCAGCAGCAGAGTCAGCTGTGCTGAATCCTTACCGTGGTGTTTGTCAGCACCGTTGCTAAGGAACTCCACATTGCATTTGGATCCATCCCCACCCAGCAAGTCCTGCTGCTGCCTTACGATCTCCTCCAGCAGACGGGAGTTGTTCTTGCGAAACATCCCTGAGAAATATTTTTCGTTGAAATATTTTTCGTTGATTTGCTCGATCACATAATCAAAGACTGTTGCTAGTGAGATGAATCAGTTACAGAGGAGCCTTTCACTCTGAAGAGGTGAGCATGCAGGGAATGTAGATATGTAAATGTGCAAAGTCATAAAGGCTTTCACACGACCCATTTACTTCATTTGTCACATTCTAAATTTGAGCTTTCTTAAGCAAATAGTAAACACCTCTGGTCCTGGTGCATGAATGTATGTCACAGTGCTAATGATTCTGTGATGTTCAGTAAAGTAAACCTGGATTGTAATTTTCACTCAAATAGTAAACGGATTAATGAAGTCATCTCTGTTTGCGCAGATATCCTGTAGGGAGAACCGTCTCTGCAAAAGTTTACCACTGAAGATCATAAAGTGAAACAAACTTCTAAAATCACATGACATTACAGAAAGAAGAGGGGTGGGGGCGTGAGAACAGCTTCGGTGTACTATGAATTTGTTAATATATACAAATAGAAATGTTTTAATTACGCCGAACGAAGATTGAACAAGTTAGTTGGCAGGAGTTACGTTGCACAAATTGTTGTAGGAACAATAACTAGCAGATGAAAGCGAAGATAGTCGAAAAGTCAAAGCAAAGATGTTTACCGTGATTATCATAGACGCTGACATAAGAAATGCCCACAGCCATACACCACACCACCAGGTTCGCGATGTCCGTATAGCTGGGCTCTTCTTCGGTCACCAGAAGGCCGATGTGCACAGGCAGCTTTTCCAGAGACCTGCCGTCAGAGAGCAACCGCGAGCGGCGACACGCGAGGCGCTTTACCGTCCCCGGACTGGTGTTAGCATCGGGGTTTTGATTCGTTGTCTTCTGGTGGTCCGGGAATCCGGCCAGGGCTACCGGCAGCAGCAGCCCGGCCATCGCCCGCTCCCACACTCGCCTCTTCCAGCCCCGAAGCCGGACACGGAGCCAGACGACTAGCGCTCTGTTGATGTGCACGAGAAGCAGGAGTAGCCGCCATAACAAGCCATAGAGCAGTGCCATTTGTGTCCGTATTCCTTGAAAGCGCCTTAAATGATAGTGGTGCGAATGTGCGATTCATGCGTTTTACGCGTATGGGCTGCCTGCTAAACCTGTTTCATCGGAGCCAGCGGGTCGGTTCGCCCGCCGCCATTTTCCTCCTCTTTGTCAACCCCTGACCTATGAACCCTCACTGCGATACACGTAGCTACCTGATTGGATGAGATAGGAGTGACGCAGTAGGAGGAGCCGCCTTCCGACTGTCAAAACCCCGGTTTACTATTGCAGCCGAGGGTTTATGCATATGGGTTTAACGGTGCGCCCATACTTCGGGTTGATAATAAAACAATAACACGGTGCTCCGTTTCCTCGACAAACTGGCAGCAACTTTATTTCCACTCCAAAAAATAAACCCCCAGCTGAACACTTCTTCTCTTTCCTCTCCTTCCATCTCCCCCTTCACAATAAAAGCACCTACACCGGAACTAAAATCTTACACTATTATCACGTTTTTTCAATCCAATTCATTTTATTTTGTTTAGCCCAAAATCACAAATCACTAATTTGCATCAGAGGGCTTCACAGTCTGTACATATGCAACATCCTCTGTCCCGAAACCCTCACATTGGCACAGGAAAAACTCCCCCAAAAATGAAAACCCTTCCATGGGGATAAAGGTGAAGAAACCTTAGTGAGAACGTCAGAGGAGGATCCCTCTCCCGGGATGGACAGACTACAATGGATGTCAAGTGTACAGAATGAACAATGTAAAAGATCTACAATACATTCAATTCCTACACAGAAATGATTCTAATAATTGCGCGTAGTAAGTAGGTGTACGGCAGGACCACTGCAGGGACAACCACCATCAGATAGAACCATCATCCCATAGAACCACCATCCACAGAAGCCTGTGGGGAGGGAAAGCACAAAGACTTTAGGAAAGGGTAATGTTGGTTTATGATGACGGTAATAGTAATGTGATTAATATTTCAAATAGTAATAATGATGATGATGGCAGTAGAAGGTATCAGCAGGGCCACGACAAGAGGCAGTAACAGGGTCCAGATTGAACCATGATCCATGGAAACCTGTGAGGCGAGAAAACACAAATTCTTGGAAGACACACAGTTAGGAATGCGCATTAATGTTTACAGTGATAGAAATGGGAACATCAATGGTGTTAGAAGCTGTAGATGTCCACGGACCAGGCAGGAGTTAGGACCAGGGTCCAGACGGAACCACGATCTACGAAGACCTGCGAGAAAAGCACAACAAACTTGGGGGAAGAAGCTGAATTAGTGATATGCATTAATAAAACCTGGGTTATTGTAGAAGGATAGAGTGAGAGTGAGAGAGGAGCACTGTGTGTCCTAAGAAGTCCCCCGGCAGCCTAAGCCTATAGCAGCTTAACTACACACTAAAAAAGGTTGGGTTAAAAATAACCCAATTTGGGTTGTTTTATAACTCAACCGCTGGGTCACCATTGCACCAACCTAGCAGTAGTTAATTTGACCCAGCACTATGGGTTGGCCATTTTAACCCAACATGAGTTAAATATTCTACCCAAATGCTGGGTCAAATTAACTACAATTCTGAGTTGTTTCAGCTACATATAGTTGTTATATATTCTACCCAAATGCTGGGTCAAATTAACTACAATTCTGAGTTGTTTCAGCTACATATAGTTGTTATATATTCTACCCAAATGCTGGGTCAAATTAACTACAATTCTGAGTTGTTTCAACTACATATAGTTGTTATATATTCTACCCAAATGCTGGGTGAAGTTAAATACAATTCTGGGATTCATGCAAAGGACATATCATAATTAACACTCGGTTCGATCCCAGGCTCTGCTAACCCTCATTTTGATGTGTCTTGGGCAAGACACTTAACCCAACATTGCTCCTGTAACTGTGACTACAGTGCGTGAATGTTAGTTATTGATGTGCAGGTGTCGTGTGTATGGTTCTCCTGTCATCAGTGTATGAATAGGTGTGAATGGGTGAATGATGTCATGCAGTGTTAAAGCGCTTTGAGTGGTCAGAAGACTAGAAAAGCGCTATACAAGTACTGTCCATTTACCATTATTAATATGTCCTGCTGTTTGTCAAAACAGGTAAAATGCGCAAATGGCTTTTTTACTCTGGGAGGATGGCGGTTAACTTTCAGAAGGGAACGCTGGGATTTCTTCCTCAGGATTCCACTGATGCAGCCAAAGTCCTCAAAGACACCCAGCTCTGCAGGACAGTCTGCACCTATAAAAGGAGAAGCTGGTCAGGCTGAATGCTTTGCATGTGGTCCGCATGAGAGGGGGGGATTCTTCAGATAACACTGAGGTGACTGGAGAATACATCCTGCAGTTTGGTAGTATTAGGAAGTATAAGGGGAAGTCCTTCCGCTGGCTGCTGGAGAATGATATCGGGTACACCATCTACCGGATCAGGAACCAGCAGAAGGAGCAGGCTGCAGGAGTGTTCATGGCAGCGGGGCACAACAAAGACAGCCTACTGTCATTTGTAAATTATTCACTGGGCTTTAAAGACATCCAGTCTTTAGTCAACTACGAGGAACAGAAGCCACCAGTGATCGCAGCAGCAGCATCAGAGGATGACCTCTTGGTTGGTTTTGGTGCTCGTGCTAACAGCACCTGGCGAGAAATCTGGGACAGCAGAGTGGATGGCTATGCAGCCTTCATCTTCAAGAAGAGCTGTGCTCCAGGTACAAAAATGTACAAACTCAAGATGTACCTGCAGAAAAAGCAGCCTCCTCCCTCTGTCTCCTCACCAACCACACAGACCTCCTCCTCCTCTGCTCCTGCTGAAAGCATGGGTGGGTATACACTCTTGTATACACAGAAAGAGACACACTTCATCATTGCAGAAGATGCTCATTTAATGACAATTATCTAATTGCCTGTCTACATTAAAGTGATGGATGAAGATGAGGAGCTGGAGAGGCTGATGCTGAGCATTTCTCCTGCAAAGCAACAGGTGCAGAGTTGTGAGTAAACATTTGCTGTAAACTGTTTATTCTGTTCAGTAAATATAATATATTGTTTGTGTTAAACAGCTGTTTCTGCATCATCATCATCATCAACTGCCATGGGATGACAACAGGTTCCAGAAACAAAACAAGTTTTTTTAGCTGAAACGTCCTGCAGCCAGCGGACACCACTGGGACCGTGAGTTCTTGTCCCACATGAAGCATGAACTATTCTGTCTCACGTTGACCATGTTCCGGTCCCTGGTTCTTTATGTTTGGTTGCTTCGATGTTGTCCCAGTGACTATGAATTGATACCAGCCACGATGAGGGTACGTACCAGTCTTCTTCTATGCATGAAAAGAACAAGTGTGTGTGTGTGTGTGTGTGTGTGTGTGTGTGTGTGTGTGTATATATATATGTATATAATGTGAATCTGCTGTGTTACTAACACCCAGGTGCATGTGTTTGAAGTGTGCCATGTTGCTTCTTCTGCCTAGCTTAAATTTTTCCAACTAACTGGCTGCTGAACATTAACAAATTCAACGACCAACACATGTATTATATAATAATGTGAGAAACTGTATCAAGGAATGAGGCAATTAGGAGGTTTGTGTCTTGCTCAGGGACAGTTCAACTTGGGACACGGGGCAGCCGGGACTTGAATCACCAACCCTGCAGTTCCCAGCGCACCCTCTCAGAGAGGATGTTGTATGTGTACAGACTGTAAAGCCATCTGAGGCAAATTTGTAATTTGCAATTTTGGGCTATACAAAATAAAATTAATTGAATTGAATTGAACTTTGAGACCCACTTTGATGTAGTGGAACCTGTCAAGGCAAGTCAAGGCAAGGCAATTTTATTTGTATAGCACATTTCAATTCAAATTCAAAGGCAATTCAAAGTGCTTCACCAGTAGAATAAATACTCAACCAAAATAATAGTAAGTCATTCCTATATATTTCATATATATTTAAAGTCTTTGCTTTGAATTCAGCATTCTGCAAATGTGCTTCTTCCCCTTTCTGAGACATCAATTTCAGATTGCAAATCATTTGCATGCATGTGGCTTTACCAGATCTCCAATTCTCTAAAACAAGTCTTCAACTAAGGATACTGCAAGCTTGGCCAAAAGTGTGGCATATAACGGACTAAACTACAAGTGTGTGATGATTTTGATCCATGGCTTGCTGGGTGCACAGCCAGAGTTTGATGAAATCATCTAAATGGTGATACTGCAAGACAACTTCATCTTCGTTCTCTGTAAGATTATAAATTAATAATTTGAATACTAAATAATCTTTTTCAATGTGTAGCAAGTGAGAAAATGTCCTTCCTGAGCTACTGTAGATTCAGGCAGGCCTTGGTACAGCCCACTTCCTGGTTCACCTATTAGAAAGGGTATAAAAGCTGCACATAATGAAGCTAGTGTCACCACGCTTGTCCCTTTCTGTGTTGGAGGCTGGCAGGAGAATCCACTGAGCTGGTGGGTGTTTTTAGTCTCAATTCTTAGGAAACTGATTTGGCCATTGGTTAACTTTCTGTTTGTATTTCCCAGCTTGTCATGGAGGCCCAAACCATGTGTGAGCCGGACCAGGTGGAGGAGCCTTAAAGTAACTCCAGGCTGGCATTCGAAGCCACTGCTATTTTGTATTGCTTATTCAGTTCCTCTCTGGAGTTTCTTCATGTTGGTAATGTTAGTTTGCTGATGACTTTTGGTAAGTAATTTGTTTATTTTTGTGTTTGAGGTTGTCTGCAGAGTAACATCCCAGATGGTGGGTCTGGTGGCTGGGCCTTTCACCTGCTCATCCCATTTTCCGTTGTGTTTGTCTGTATTTTCTTTTTACATAGCATGCCTGTTTTATATTGTTTGTGTGGAGAAACTGAGTCGGTGAGTGCCCTCTGCCAGAGCCTGTCCCTGTTCCTGCCCCGGTGCAGCCTAGTCACCCTTAGCACTTAATTTGTTTGTAGAGGTGCATTTGGTTATTCCTACAGCTGATGGAAATTGGTTTAATTGTTTTGTATGCTTTCTATATTTGAACTAAATTTTGAAATCTGGGAATACTTTTTCCTCAGTCTGACTTCAGTCACCTGTTGATCCGTGGTTGTTGGATAATTTATGAGGAAATATATTAACCCTGTGCTACCGGTGGTTACAAATGTCTTTCTTCCATTTGCTCAACTTCCCATGACTTTATCTACACACTATGAATCAGCTAAAACTAATGCATTCTAATACAACAGCCCTATAACAATTTCTCCCTCATTCTCTTGTATCTGTGTCGACAGCCCAAATGGAAATCGGCCAATGGTACCCCTAGAGGGGATTTACTTGCACGTTGAAATTTACTAATTGATTGTGATCTCTTCTCAGACTGCTGTGGCTGGTTCTACACCTGCAGAATCAAGCTGGCCAATGGAAAAACTAAAACTTCCAAATTGCTTGCCAGAGTCACCAGATATATCTACTGCAAGATGAAGAGAACCTTTTAGGTTAAAGGGCAACCTCACTTCAATATATGGACCAAGATTTTGGCAATTCCTTTTTAATCTCAACTTTACCACTGAATTTCAGGGACAAGTAGGAGGGTTAGTTGATGTGTAAAATGTTTGACCTACCTCTGTATTGCCCGTGGGATATTTCGTAACCCTGTTTTATAAATTGTTGCAGATAATTTCATTTTTTTTAAAATATTGTATTGTCATTTACTCATTTCAGTTGGTTCAATATGCGTTGGGCAAGAAACCTGGTGGAGACTGTGGTGCCATGAGTGCAAACAAAAGGTATGACTGACTTGGGTTGTTAACAAGTACCCTACTAACGAGCCACTACTCATATTTAACTGCACGCATTTTTCACAATGTTTTAACTGTTTGACTTGCTTGGTGATTTATGGTGATTGTGACGTTTGTTCCATAGTGCAAGTGAATCTTATGTGTGTACCCTGTAAAAATGCACTTTAAATACACATTTCTGTGACGGTAATTAAAACTGTAATTTTACATTTTTATTTAAAGAGTCAACCTCATAAATGGTAAATGGACTGTACTTGTGTGTGTGTGTATATAGCGCTTTTCTAGTCTTCCGACCACTCAAAGCGCTTTAACACTACATGACCTCATTCATACACTGATGACAGGAAAACCATACAGTGACACCTGCCCATCAGTAACATTCATACGCTGTAATCACAGCTACAGGAGCAATGTTGGGTTAAGTGTCTTGCCCAAGGACACATCGACATGCGGGTTAGCCAGGACTGGGATCAAACCCACAACCCCTCTGATTGGAGGAGTACCTGCTCCCCACTCACCCACAGCCGCCCATAGTGCTGTACACTTCAGTGTAACCCCAACACTGTAGGTTAAGACCTTATGTTTACTGGCTTAGTGTTGCAACGTACTCCAATTTCAGTCAAATTTACTGTGTACCTGGAATGTAATCTTGGCAGTGAATTGATAGAATGTCAATGTATTCTAGAGGAGAGGGAGAAGATGGGTGAGGCCTGGGCTCTTCGTCAAGGTATTTTTTTTTAATGTAATTCTTGTCGTACAAGCTGTAATGGCCCTAATAAAAGGTCTTTCTAACTGTAAAGAATGCCTGAGTGTTGTGGCCTGTCATGAAGAACTATTTGGATCCTTTAGCTGCGGTTTAACTATTTGCTGTTGGCCAATGTGTTAGGCTAATGTTATTTAGCAATACTATGGGCAAGAAGATGCCATCTTGTCTGTTTCAAAGATTTTTCAGAATGGGTTGTGATTCCACACAGGACGGTCCAGAGAATACAACAGGCTCCTGCCTTGAGGATCCCCAGAAGTGGTCGAGGAGTTTCAACCTCCTGTGACGGTGGAAATTACCCGCAGTCTTTAGTGATTTGAAGTGAACGGTAAGAGTTAGTTAGTAACAGTAGTTTTTGATATGTAATGCTTGTCATGCAGGCTGTGTGACGGGTCTAATAAAACATTCGTTTTCAAACTGTCAAGAGCCTGACTGTTGCATAATGTGTTAACTGTATCTTCTAAAATGTGGTTGGATGTCCTGAACTATGCCACCCTCCTTTAGCTGCTTAATTTAAATTTGGCAGCTTTTTGCTCATACAGGGAAACTGCAATCAATGTTCGGAAAACATTCCGGTTGGGTAAAGTAGTTCTGTGATTCCACGCAGGACGGTCCAGAGAAGACCACAGGGTCCTGCCTCGGACTCCCAAGCAACTTCAGCCTCCTGTGAAAATTGAGAGGTGAGACCCTTTCTCAGTACTGCTTTTCATGTAATGCTGTGAAAGTCTAATACAATGTTCTGTTAGAATGCCTGACTGTTGGTTAACTGTATATGCTCCTAATATGTACTGAACTGATCCAGTCTTTATCTGCGCTTTCCCAGTGTGTAAAAAGATGCATTCTTGTCAGTGTTTAAATATTTCTTGTTTGCTAAAGTACTGTTGTGCTACCACACAGGACTATTCAGAGAACACAACAGGCTCCTGCTTCAGGGGAAGGCAGCTTTAGCCTCCTGTGGAAAATGCCGTATGCTCCTGCCAAATTAGCGATTTGACTGACGGTAAGACTTTTTTTCCCCAGTAATGGTAATGCAGGCTGTGTGACAGGTCTAGAAAAATGTTTGAAGTGGTGTGATTGCATAATGGGTCAACTTGCGGTGCTTCTTGTCTTTGGTTGTATGCCCTTAACTATTTTCCAATGTTTTAGGAATGTGTTTTTATTGATACATGTAAACCTATCAGTGCAAAAACATTGTCAGTGTTTCAAGACGAGTTGGGTAATGTAGTCTTATTTCTTGCAGGAAGATAGAATCCAACTCTCTACAGGCTTTGCCAGAAGGTAAGAATTTTTTTTTTTTATTGGGGTGGGGGGCTAAGTGTGGGCTAGGGTTAGCGGGGGCTAAGTGTGGGCTAGGGTTAGCGGGGGCTAAGTGTGGGCTAGGGTTAGCGGGGCTAAGTGTGGGCTAGGGTTAGCGGGGGCTAAGTGTGGGCTAGGGTTAGCGGGGGCTAAGTGTGGGCTAGGGTTAGCGGGGGCTAAGTGTGGGCTAGGGTTAGCGGGGGCTAAGTGTGGGCTAGGGTTAGCGGGGGCTAAGTGTGGGCTAGGGTTAGCGGGGGCTAAGTGTGGGCTAGGGTTAGCGGGGGCTAAGTGTGGGCTAGGGTTAGCGGGGGCTAAGTGTGGGCTAGGGTTAGCGGGGGCTAAGTGTGCTAGGGTTAGCGGGCTAAGTGTGGGCTAGGGTTAGCGGGGGCTAAGTGTGGGCTAGGGTTAGCGGGGGCTAAGTGGGGGCTAGGGTTAGCGGGGGCTAAGTGTGGGCTAGGGTTAGCGGGGGCTAAGTGTGGGCTAGGGTTAGCGGGGGCTAAGTGTGGGCTAGGGTTAGCGGGGGCTAAGTGTGGGCTAGGGTTAGCGGGGGCTAAGTGTGGGCTAGGGTTAGCGGGGGCTAAGTGTGGGCTAGGGTTAGCGGGGGCTAAGTGTGGGCTAGGGTTAGCGGGGGCTAAGTGTGGGGCTAGGGTTAGCGGGGGCTAAGTGTGGCTAGGGTTAGCGGGGGCTAAGTGTGGGCTAGGGTTAGCGGGGGCTAAGTGTGGGCTAGGGTTAGCGGGGGCTAAGTGTGGGCTAGGGTTAGCGGGGGCTAAGTGTGGGCTAGGGTTAGCGGGGGCTAAGTGTGGGCTAGGGTTAGCGGGGGCTAAGTGTGGGCTAGGGTTAGCGGGGGCTAAGTGTGGGCTAGGGTTAGCGGGGGCTAAGTGTGGGCTAGGGTTAGCGGGGGCTAAGTGTGGGCTAGGGTTAGCGGGGGCTAAGTGTGGGCTAGGGTTAGCGGGGGCTAAGTGTGGGCTAGGGTTAGCGGGGGCTAAGTGTGGGCTAGGGTTAGCGGGGGCTAAGTGTGGGCTAGGGTTAGCGGGGGCTAAGTGTGGGCTAGGGTTAGCGGGGGCTAAGTGTGGGCTAGGGTTAGCGGGGGCTAAGTGTGGGCTAGGGTTAGCGGGGCTAAGTGGGGCTAGGGTTAGCGGGGGCTAAGTGTGGGCTAGGGTTGCGGGGGCTAAGTGTGGGCTAGGTTAGCGGGGCTAAGTGTGGGCTAGGGTTAGCGGGGGCTAAGTGTGGGCTAGGGTTAGCGGGGGCTAAGTGTGGGCTAGGGTTAGCGGGGGCTAAGTGTGGGCTAGGGTTAGCGGGGGCTAAGTGTGGGCTAGGGTTAGCGGGGGCTAAGTGTGGGCTAGGGTTAGCGGGGGCTAAGTGTGGGCTAGGGTTAGCGGGGGCTAAGTGTGGGCTAGGGTTAGCGGGGGCTAAGTGTGGGCTAGGTTAGCGGGGGCTAAGTGTGGGCTAGGGTTAGCGGGGGCTAAGTGTGGGCTAGGGTTAGCGGGGGGCTAAGTGTGGGCTAGGGTTAGCGGGGGCTAAGTGTGGGCTAGGGTTAGCGGGGGCTAAGTGTGGGCTAGGGTTAGCGGGGGCTAAGTGTGGGCTAGGGTTAGCGGGGGCTAAGTGTGGGCCTAGGGTTAGCGGGGGCTAAGTGTGGGCTAGGGTTAGCGGGGGCTAAGTGTGGGCTAGGGTAGCGGGGGCTAAGTGTGGGCTAGGGTTAGCGGGGGCTAAGTGTGGGCTAGGGTTAGCGGGGGCTAAGTGTGGGCTAGGGTTAGCGGGGGCTAAGTGTGGGCTAGGGTTAGCGGGGGCTAAGTGTGGGCTAGGGTTAGCGGGGGCTAAGTGTGGGCTAGGGTTAGCGGGGGCTAAGTGTGGGCTAGGGTTAGCGGGGGCTAAGTGTGGGCTAGGGTTAGCGGGGGCTAAGTGTGGGCTAGGGTTAGCGGGGGCTAAGTGTGGGCTAGGGTTAGCGGGGGCTAAGTGTGGGCTAGGGTTAGCGGGGGCTAGTGTGGGCTAGGTTAGCGGGGGCTAAGTGTGGGCTAGGGTTAGCGGGGGCTAAGTGTGGGCTAGGGTTAGCGGGGGCTAAGTGTGGGCTAGGGTTAGCGGGGGCTAAGTGTGGGCTAGGGTTAGGCGGGGCTAAGTGTGGGCTAGGGTTAGCGGGGGCTAAGTGTGGGCTAGGGTTAGCGGGGGCTAAGTGTGGGCTAGGGTTAGCGGGGGCTAAGTGTGGGCTAGGGTAGCGTGGGGCTAAGTGTGGGCTAGGTTAGGGGGCTAAGGTGTGGCTAGGGTTAGCGGGGGCTAAGTGTGGGCTAGGTTAGCGGGGGCTAAGTGTGGCTAGGGTTAGCGGGGCTAAGTGTGGCTAGGGTTAGCGGGGGCTAAGTGTGGGCTAGGTTATCGGGGCAAGTTGGCTAGGGTTAGCGGGGGCTAAGTGTGGGCTCGGGTTAGCGGGGCTAAGTGTGGGCTAGGGTTAGCGGGGGCTAAGTGTGGGCTAGGGTTAGCGGGGGCTAAGTGTGGGCTAGGGTTAGCGGGGGCTAAGTGTGGGCTAGGGTTAGCGGGGGCTAAGTGTGGGCTAGGGTAGCGGGGGCTAAGTGTGGGCTAGGGTTAGCGGGGGCTAAGTGTGGGCTAGGGTTAGCGGGGGCTAAGTGTGGGCTAGGGTTAGCGGGGGCTAAGTGTGGGCTAGGGTTAGCGGGGGCTAAGTGTGGGCTAGGGTTAGCGGGGGCTAAGTGTGGGCTAGGGTTAGCTAGGGGTAGCGGGGCTAAGTGTGGGCTAGGGTTTAGCGGGGGCTAAGTGTGGGCTAGGGTTAGCGGGGGCTAAGTGTGGGCTAGGGTTAGCGGGGGCTAAGTGTGGGCTAGGGTTAGCGGGGGCTAAGTGTGGGCTAGGGTTAGCGGGGGCTAAGTGTGGGCTAGGGTTAGCGGGGGCTAAGTGTGGGCTAGGGTTAGCGGGGGCTAAGTGTGGGCTAGGGTTAGCGGGGCTAAGTGTGGGCTAGGGTTAGCGGGGGCTAAGTGTGGGTAGGGTTAGCGGGGGCTAAGTGTGGGCTAGGGTTAGCGGGGGCTAAGGTGGGCTAGGGTTAGCGGGGGGCTAAGTGTGTTAGCGGGGGCTAAGTGTGGGCTAGGGTTAGCGGGGGCTAAGTGTGGGCTAGGGTTAGCGG